ATATATATATATATATATATATATATTCCAAAAAGCAACCCTTGATTCTAGGATTTTATATAAGGGACACCATTTTACCATGGCATTCTATTGAATGGGTCTTGAGCATCCATGGATTTTGGTATCCACAAGGGTCCCTGGAACCAGAAAAAAAAGCTGTTCACAGAGCAGAGATTAACCATCCTCTGCAAATTATTACAGGCCTCGTAGTGCTCATCTCAACATGCTGATCTCTTTCCGGTATTTCCGCACCACATATTTCCGCTCATCAGCTTGCGTCTTAGGAAAGCCACCTTCTAATTCTGCTTTTTGGGGTTGTAAGAACCTATCCCTATCCAGGGTGACCGGATGTTGTAACTGCAAAGGAGGACAAGGGGCCGCAAAATGTAGGACCTGGCCAAATAAAAGCGAAACACTCCCATTTCCGCGTAAATGCATGCTTCCTAGACATGCTCAGTATTCTGAAGGTTGTAACGCAGGACATGTATTGGAAAAGAAGAACGTCTAGTCACCTTGGACCTATCCCTTCCATGCTATGTCTGCCTCTGGTACCAGAGTTGCTGCTAAAGATGTCATGCCCAGGTACACACTGACCTCACTGAGTTATTGTGTTAGCTGCTTAGAAATCATAGAGTCAGAAGAGACCCTCAAGGGTCATCCAGTCCAACCCCTTTCTGCCATGCAGGAAGACACAACCAAAGCACTCCCAACAGATGGCCATCCAGACTCTGTTTAAAAACCTCCAAAGGAGGTTCCCCTGTGTATTCCCCTGTCGAACCTCTTACTGTTAGGAAGTTCTTCCTAATATTTAGGGATTTTTCTCTCTTTTCCTGAAGTTTGCATCCATTGCTCCGTATCCTAGTCTCTGGAGCAGCAGCAAACAAGCTTGCTTCATCCATCCTCAATAGGACACCCCTTCAAATATTTAAAGATGACCAAAGATCACCTCTTAACTCCCTAAAGCAGCTCCTTGTGAGTTTCTAGACCTTTTACCATTTTGGTTGCCCTCCTCTGGACATGCTCCAAGCATTGCAAGAAGCAAAAATAGCCCCCGCCCTGTGTGCAAACTTTCAATCCAGTTTTTAAATATCTATGCATGAAAATATATATTGACTCTTCCTTTCTTTTATATGAGCATCCCTAGTTTTGTTAGGGAGCTGGCATGGCTTAGTGGTTTGAGTGTTGGAGAAGGACTCTGGAGACCAGGGTTCGAATCCCGGCTTAGCCATTTTAAACCGACTCAGTGGCCTCGGGCAAGTCACACTCTCTCAGCCTCAGGGGAAGGCCATGACAAACCTCCTCTGAACAAACCTTGGCCTGTGATAGGTTTGCCTTAGGGTTGCCATGAAATGACTTGAAGGCACACAGCAGCAACCCCCAGAGCTTTGTTTATTTGGAAGGAAATCGTCCTTTAAAAATAAATCAATGTATTGGGGTTGTTGGTTTTTTTGCTCCGTCTCTTCTTCTTCTTTTAGAATCCCCCTTTTCATTCAGGCTTGATAGAAACGTGCGGTGATTTCTCCAAACATCTGTCCTGGGATGTTGAGATGAATGGAAAAAAAACGGCCGGTTGACATCAATTTAGAAAAGGATGTGGGACACACACACACAAACTCCATTAACAAGTCCAGAAGGCATCCCTGTTCCCACTTAAACCTTTGGGATACCCAGAAAGGCAGATAACCCATGTACCGATTAGACAGTTTTGCCGGTAAATCCTTCTTAGGGATCATCCCATATTGGACACACAACTTATCTCATCTCATTGCGGCAGTCGAAATCCGCCAGCGCTGGGGCCTTAGCTTAGGGGGCCAGCTGTCTCTGATTTCAGGGGAAAACCTCCAGTTTTGAAAGGGTTGCCACATCTCGCTGCTCCGCCTGCTCCTCTGCTTGTTGATTTTGCTCCTGTCGCTAACAATGGAGAGCTTTGATTAAAAACCCGGACTGGA